TTGGATTCTACATTCAGCTTATCCTTTTCTTGATCGTTTCTCTTGCTGTTACCATCTACTGCTATGTCAGGATTGCTATCACTGTCGTTTCATCCAAGATCGTCACCAAATTCAAGACAGTCAGGTTGATATTTGTCATTGTACTGCTATTTTTCACATGCTGGATCCCATTTAACATTCTAATGCTGATGAATGATGAAGACGCTGACTGTGAAACAAGGCAGAAAATGGATTATGCTCTTGAAGTCACTCGTGTCATGGCCTACGCTTACTTTTGTATCAGTCCCGTCTTTTACACATTTGTTGGGAAAAAGTTTCAGAAGTATTTCCGACAGTTGCTGGTAAAAACGTTCCCACGGTTTAAGAGGGATGTTTCTGTCTGTCTGCAGAATAGGAGCAAGATGTCTACACAAAGCACTCAAAATTAGCTCTAGGAATCGGAAGCCTTTTGTTCTTAAGGACCTCTATGTGGCCAATATTAGGAATTTAAGCAAAAGAGCAACGTTAGAAATGATAATATCTGATTATAACTATTGTTAGAATTATAGTTTGTGTTCTTAGATATTATATTAGTATGTTATAAATAACTAATACGAAGACATTTTATAAGGGCCTTTAATTACTGTACACATGAAATCCAGCCATAATGTAATGTTCAGCCTGCTAGAAGGACGCTTAAACTTTCCGCTATGGATTTCTGCCATATTTTCTTCCAATGAAGGGTTTTAGCAAATAACGGATGAATGAAAGCCCTGACAGGCAATTGTTCTGATTTCTCATCATAAATGTTATGACTGTGATGATTTAAGATATCTTATGTAGAGTGTATTAGCTATTGGATGAGGATTATATTATGTTATGTTTACATGAAGAAGCTGTAGGCCAAAGGTTTATTCATTGAATGTGCTGAAATGTAGAAATAACAAGGGACAGTCCGGAGAGGGAGATTTCTGGTTCGGTTCCAGATTGGGTGGGAGAGAAATGTCACAAAAACAACGTGGGAGGAGCTACGTTTGAATGTGCAGCCAATCACATCCGGCTGTGAAATGATGGACCCACCACTAGAGATTTGAATCTAGTCATTAGGGTCACCAGATACACACCTGTCTCAAGAGTAAAGGAGGAATCATTGTTGTGCCATTGCCAAGCGGTATTTAATGTGCGCCGCCTCATATGTGAAAATACATTGCAGCTACATCGGGTACAGAGGGACCACATGGACAACTTTAAATGATCAGATCGAGCCGATTGTGTATATCCTGAAGGTTCCATTTACAATGGAGCTTATCAGGACCGAAAGTAAACTCCTTTAGCTGTACTAAATGTGCTTATGTGACGCTTAATCGTCCCTTTTGACCTGGAACCTACACATGTCTGCTTGTCACTATAATTGCTCTGATTATTTCATTTGAATGCAAATATTTTCCTGTATATTAATACGTTGAGAATCAATCATGTCCTTTGTTAAACAGTTTTTGAATTTTGTAAAAACTTTTGTAAAAACTGATTCATGTCTATTCAATTGTTGGCTTACAGTATGAGGCAGATTTTTAGATGGAAAAGGAGTCAAACTGTGTTGGTTGGTTTTTCTTTGAGTTGGCTCCTGCATTAAGCGGAGCAAATCCGTGGTGTTTGGTTGAATTAAACCTTTGAAATAATAGACTACATGTTTCTGTTTTTAGCATAACGTCAACTTCTTTGTTGAGGACACACATTTTAGAAAACACAGTGACTAAAGGGCTGTAGTAGAAAGTCATTTTCATGTTTCATGGTCATGGTAAAAAGAGGAAGTTGCAGTTCTTATCTGCACAGTTTACCACATGAAAGTGAGAATTGTTCTCGAGTCATTGACATTGCTTCATCTATTTTCAACATACAACCTACAACACTATTTTTAGTTGTAATTCTAAAGAATTTGTTCATCCATTTCAAAAGTACATTGTAGTTTTAAGATTTCAAAGGTTTAGTTTATCATTTCACCATTGATGGTTTAAACGCCATAATTGTATAGTGATTGTGTTATGTCTCTGGCACATCCGCTGTCAGATGAACCCTGCTTCACGCCTAATCCGTCCTTCTCTGTCAATGCTATATATTATTATATTGTACCCTGTGATAAATGATATCCCACACTTAAATTCCTCCTATTATTTCCACTGAAAGAACAAATCAAGCTGTCATAATAGTCTTCCATATTGTCTTCCCTCAATTTTCTTTCAGTTTGTTCTGTTGAGGTCAGGTTAAATTCAGTCTGACTGTTATATTTATATATATAATCCCAGTAATTATGTTGAGAATTGCAGGTTTGCGACTGAGTGCAACCTGCATATGAACAACAAGCTACCAGCTCACTGTTCATATCAAAACACATGCAAAAGTGCAACCACAAAAATATATTGCAAGTGAGACGTTTGGGAAATGTGTCAAAAGGGTTTTTTCAAAATAAATTATTTTTCAGGGGAAAAAAAAGGAAAAATTTCTTACATTTCTTACACAAGGAGCTTCGATGCCTCCTTGCTTAGCTTCTTTGACACAGGAACCACTGGACCATCCTTTGCCAAAGGAAAGGAGATAATTCTGTACCACAAATTCCCACAAAGGCGGGAATTTTTATGCAGTGACGTACCAATTGGCCGTTGACGAGGAACAACGATCAAGGCCGAGAAACGCAGATCATGTGAGCAACCGTTAGCATCGCTCATTCATGTTGGAGCCTCGTTAATAAGGTTTTACTTTGAACCACCTGCATGACTCAGCACTGTAACAACACATGAAGGCATCTTAAGATGCTTCTTTGTAGCCGCTGCAGACTAACGTCACTGACATGCGTCTCCCGTCGAGTCAGATTCCCTAAACACTGCCGCTGTCTTTTCCTAAGTCCTCATGAATTCTCCGTCTGTCCTTCACCCAGAGACGTTTTTCCACAGAAGGAATAGTGGTTAGCAGGTCCTTTTTGTTTGTTGTTTTTTATAATCTTATGCCACAGCACAGGGGCCCCCGTGGTGTCCATGTCCCTCGTCCAATCAGACCTCAGTGCAGAGTTTCAACAAAAGAATTACGGCTAAATGGGACGTTTGGGTTTGGGTGGAATCTTCAGCCGAATTGGGTTCTGAACCAGTAGACCCAACTCTCTCTGTTTCCACTGCTTGCTTAATATTTCAACACATTCTTTTTCAAATAGACGTTAGTCTTCAACCGTAACAGTTAAGTTTATGGAACCAAACCTTCTCAGTGAAGTTCCACACTGACCAAAAACAAGAGACAGTTTCACAGATGACGTGATGATGCTTTTGATCAAGAGTATATTTGCTGTATGTAAACTTTATGCTCTCAAATAGTTCCTCTGAGAGATTTTAAAGCACGTTGGTGCATCTCAGGTCGGACGGTACATAACAAGTCAACGGATCAGGAAGACAAAATTACTGGCTAAACACAAATCAGTATACTGCATTATTTTTATTATTATACTGCATTATTGCAGCTGGACAGCTGTTACATTTACAGTTACTTTGAATTGTTTTAAGCAATGTTCTACTTTTTAATGGGTTTGATTGAATTATTTTAAGCTCTACATGTAATGTAGTGTTTGCAATAGCACTTTACGATATAACATTATATAGGA